CGTGCTGTCTGCGCTTCCCGTCGGCGTCACCCCAGCACGGATATGTGCTTGCTCGGGGATGCTGTATCTGCGATGTTGGAGCACCCGCCGTCCCATCGCCATCGTTCCATGGAGACGATCGCTCAAGTTCTTTTTTCCGGCTGTTCGGGTAGCCCGCGCCACTCTCCTGGAGCTCGCGCGCGGGGTCAGCACCGGGGCGGCACTGTGGGGCGCGGGCCACGCCTCCGCGTGCTGTCTGCGCTTCCCATCGGCTGTCACCCGCAGCATACTTTATGCTACATGCGCGCCGCCCCCTCCGGGGCGACGGGCGCGCACCGAGAGAGTCTTGCACAGTAGGGGCGCGTGCCAAGAAACCAGTTGGATTTTGCCAGGGGGCCCTGGGTTTCTTGGATTTCGATGGGCTCCCAATCAGATCTTGACGATTTTCGATCGACGCATGTGGATTTGCACTGAACAAATCGCGGATTTCAGGGTTGGGTTTCTTGCGGAGGTTTCTTGTGGCCGAGCCCCCACTGTAGCATATGCGTCGTGGCGGGCGCTTTCTGGCCGCACCGCTCGGGAAGCGATGTACTACAAGGTGGGTGTGCTATATGTTTTTTCGTCGGACGCGCGCCTCCAAGGTGGGCATATGGTATTTGCCTGTCCCTGTGCGTCCCATCCCGGACCCCATCGCGCGGTGAAGAAATCACAGCGGGAGGTTGTTCGCTACCTCCGGCCTCCGGGGTCCCTCGCCGGCCCTCGGGAGTGTCACAAACGATGCAGGATGGAAAACCGGTCCTTGGGAAGGGGTCTAGACCTCTGTGGGTCGACTACACGTAGGAGTGACCCTTCGCCGGAGTGACCTTTGGAGCGGGCTCATTGGGGTCTCCCCGATCGCTGAGCGCCATGCGATAGTGGCGGTTTGCGTGCTTGGATTTGGCCACCTGGCGCCCCCTTAGTCCGCGCACTGAAGGTCACTCTTGCCCAGGGTCACCCTTGCGTGTAGCCGAGGGGGTCACGTCGTGAAGAATCACGACGTCGGGGGTCTGCGCTCCTCCTTGTCGAAGGACTCGGGCGGGAGCTTGTGTTCCGTCGGGATCCTGTGGGCACGCGTCTCGGACTGCGGGCGCCGGCCCCCCCCAGCAGTGGTCCGCACACACGTCTCGCCCCGCCCGCCAAAGGCAAGACAGGCAGGCGAGCCTTCCGGGGCCCGTGTTTTGTGAGTGTCTCTCGCGCCAGCGATGGGGGGGCCCTGACCTCCTCGCGTTGGGGAAAAGTCACGACAGGAGGTGTTTCGCTATTTTCAGCCCCCAAGGGCCCTTACGGGACCGAGAACAACGACTCAGGATGAAAGACCGGTCCAGGGGAATGGGTCGAGACCTCTGAGGGTCGACGTTGTGAAAAAGCATGACGCCGGGGGTCTGGGGAGGAACCAATAGTGTCTGGGGTCTGGGGAGGGGAGGCTGATTCGCGCTGGTGCCGGCTCTGACGCAACGATCCCCAGCGCTTCCTGGGAACGGCCATGGTCGCGAATCGTCGAAAGCGCTCTCTTGCCGCCCCTCGCCATGGCGCACACGGGGCACGCGAGCCCCTCGCCCAAGACGTCGACACCAGGCAGGAGCGCCACTCCGTCGGCGAGCTGGCCCAGAGCCAGTTGTGCTCGTGCTGCGTGCGCGTTGGGTCGGACTTCTCCGGCCCGGCGCGCCCTCCGCGCGCCACCCGGCAGTCGCCGAGTCGCGCTGCTGCTCGCGGTCCAGCTGTCGGCAGCTCAGAGATGGGGCCCTGAGGCGAATGGTAGCCTTAAGTCGGGCATGCCCCTCCACAGGAGGGACATCCCCAAATCGTCAAAGAATAGTCTGGGGACGATTTTTTCATTTTTAACAATATTCAAGATCTTTTGGTTCGTTTGTCTTCCAGAAATCCGCCTGTAGTAGGACATTCTCGACCGAATGGCAGACCGGGGATTCTAAACGGAGGGCCCCCCGCCCTCTTTCAGGGGTGGAGCAGCGCTCCCTGCAGCAACCAATCTATGCACTCTTCTCTCCCCCCCCGTTTTTGTGTCCCTTGGCCGGCGTTTCAGTCTTTGTCGCTTTCTATGATTCCCGCTTGTGAATGACGCGGCTCCGGCGGACTTGGCCGTTCAGGCATGTGCTCCTATTATTGGCCCCAACGTTCGTTTGTTTCCTTAGACTCACAAAGGGCCCCATCCTCGGGGCCCGATCGCTGAATCGCCGAAATTCGGCCTGCGTCATGTCGCTCCGCGAGTCCACCATCGAGACATCCGCCCTCCCCGTGTGTTGACGATGGCGCCTACCAGTGAATCGCTATCTGCGCGCGTCGTCTCGCCAGTGGCCAGGGCGTGTCTACCCACACCATGTCGTGAACCAGGGCGCGAGAGTCAACACAGGATGTGTCCATCTCGGCCCAGATCTTGCTCAGCCATCAGGCCCCCGCCCGCGAACGAGGGTGCGTTTTCTTTGCCGTTCGGCTCACCTCTGGCCCACTACCGCGGCCGCCGCGTCGGTCACGCCCTTGCCGAGGCTGTAGGCTGCGTCCGCGAGGGGCCAGGCTGGCGTCGCGCGCACGAGGTAGGCCATCCGGCCTGCGTTCACCGACTGAGCCAGCAGGAAGTTTACGTCCTTGCGGACGGGGATCGGACGAGGATAAATCCGTCCCAGGTCGTTCCGGAACGCTTTCAGAGCGTCCCCGAACGCTCTGGAGAGGCCGCGGCGCCCGAGACATCTTCCAGAGCCGCCGCATCTCAGAGATTCTCCATTTGAGCGACCTTAAAGAAAACGGGGTCGTCTGCGCCGACATTGGCGCGTAAGCTGCTCGGGTAAGGTCGCTCTTCAATCGCCGTCTTCTCCAAAGTGGCGTGTCGCGCTGGCGCACCGTGTGAGCCACCGCGTAATCTCGCCACGTCATCTCGCGTAAGACCCGTTTTTGTATCGTCGCTCATTGATCCATCGGTCGTTGAAAGTAGGATTATTTGGATCCTCAGATTCCAACCTATTTGAAGCGCCCCCCTACTTCGATTATCTTTTTGGCTTCACCTTTTCCGTCCTCATTAGGGCTCGGACGGATCCCAATCTACTCTCAGCGCATTCCTGCTTCATGTTTCTACATACTTCTTCCGACCCATGGGTACTCTGGGTTTCTTAATAAGCGTGGGGGGGTACCCCCCCGACAGGGGTCAACCTCGCCTCGTCGTCGCTCCGCGACGGGGGTCAGAGCGCCTTCGGCGCGCGGTGGCTGCCCGCGGCGGGGGTCGATGTAGGGCTGTAGGCGGGGGTGGCGCCCCCCCGACGCTTCCTAAGAAGCTCGGGGTGGCCTCGTCCGCTGCTGTCCTCGTCCTGGCCCTTCGTCTTACTCAACCCCCGCGGCCTCTGGAGCTCGGCCGGGGCGTGGGCGGCTCCCCGGCGGCTAGGCGCCTCGCCGCCCACGGGTTCGCCCCTGCTGGCACGCAGCGCAGCCCGTGGGCCACGAACGAACTGCTCCGCGCTTGTGGTATAAGTTGTTGGAGCACGCCAGAAAAAAAGCAATGACGATAAGCATACGAACAGCAATCTTAACAAGACTACGGAATAATGCTAGTATTCCTACGGGTAGTCGTCAGAAGCAAGAAGGACACCAGTCATGCTTGATATCAGTTTGCTGCACCACGCCGCGCGCGCTGCCCGAGGGCAGCAGCAGCTGCGGCGTCGAGCCCTGGAGAATGGCAACTTGACCCGAAGCCACAAACGAACGGCACAACCACACTCTTTCGACGGTCCTCGCGGATCTCCGATGAAACTGCGAGTCGCCTTTTTCTCACAGGGGCCGGGTGCCAGGGGGGATGGGGAGAGAACGTGGAGAAGGAGGAGGAGGACGACGAGAAGGAGACAACGGTTTTGAGAAGAAGTCTAGACAGGAAGACACCCCCCTGGCGGCGCCTCCGACGCCGCCCCTGGCGCGCTCCGCGCACCAGGGAGGGGGATCCGGTGCAGATCCAAGAGATCCGCGCGGACCGTCGACAGTTTACGCTTATGCCGTTTTTGTTTCATCGACTTCTTATCAGCATCCTTTTCTCCTTCTCGTCGTCCTCCTCCTCCTCCTCCTCCTTCTCTGCCTGTTCGCCCCATACCCTCTGGCACCTGTGAGAGAAGGGCGACTCGCAGCTTCGTCGGAGATCCGAGGCACTAGGTGCTGCGCCCTCCCAGCTGAAGGAGCTCCCCGCTTGACTAGGTCAGCCACCCATGGCGCGCCAATGGCCTTCCAGGTTAATCCTCGATTCCCCAGAAAATATGGGAAAATATGGGAAGTGGGGGGGAAGACAAAAACCCAGAAAATATGGGAAAATATAGGGAATCTTTTTATTTGTGTGTATTTATGTGTGTGTCCCAGTTCCCCTTCATTGACGCTGGGACCTCGTGAGGCCGTGCGATCTCCCAGCGGAGGGCCTCAGCTTCCCTCCAGCACCAGCGCGTCCTCCATCGCCAGGGATCAGACGGACCAATGTGGCCCTCTGGTGGCCAAAAACGCCGAGACGGGTGCATGGCAGGGGGAGCCAAGATCTGCGTCAACAGTTCATTCGGATGAGGCGCCCAGGCGATTAGAATACATCCCCGCGGCCTGCAATTGTGGTTTAAGTCGGTGTGCGCACGCAGCGACGTTGTCGCCAAACGGATTGTAGCCGCCACGCAGAACAAAGCGGCAGATAGTCGTGGGTCAGATGGTTGGTACCCAACTCCTGACTCCTGCTCCCCCTGCTCCCCCTCCTCCCCCCCTCCTGCTTCCCTCCTTCTTCCCCCTCCTCCTTCCCTCTTCTCCCCCTCTTCTCCCCCTCTCCTCTTTCCTCCTCCTCCTTCCCCCGCCTTCCCTCCTCCTCCTTCCCGCGGCTCCCCCTCCTCCTTCCCCCTCCTCCCCCTTCCCCCGCTCCCCTCCTCCTTCCCCCTCTCCTCTCCCTCCCCAGCCTTCCCTCCTCAGCCCGCCTGGGGAGGGCCAGGAGCACGCCCCACCCACCCAGCGGAGCGCGGGGAGAGGTGGCAGACATGCGGCGGCGCATCGCCGAGGCGAACAACAAGGACCGGGGCCCGGAACATCTCTCCACGACGAGTGGGCCGACTGGAGCTCGGTCGGGCCGCCCAGTCCTGGATGATGATGACGATGGTGGTGGTGGTGACAATGTCGGCGATGCTGAAGATGGTGGTGATGATGTCTACGGTGTTGATGCTGATGTGGGCAACCCTCGTGTTTATGCCGATGACGGTGGTAGATGATGCGAATGGTCGTCGACACCATCGCCACCACCACCATCAGCCCCACCATCATCATCGTCGTCATCGTCGTCGTCATTATCATCATATTCAACCGCGCTCGTTCGACTCGCGCGACGCTTGATCCGAGCTAAGTCCCGGTCTTCACAACCCCCCCCTCCCTCCTCGCGCTCATTCTGCTTGTCGCCGTCTTCCTCTGCGTGTTTGTCTCCATCCTCCTCTCCTCTCTTCTCCCCGCTCCTGTTCATCTGAATCCTCAGGTCCCTCCGCGTCCTCGGACTCGTGTGTTTCCTCACTGTCGTCGTCTCTGTCGGCCTCCCCCTCTTCCTCCACTTCGTCCTTCGTGCCGTATGTGTCCTCGTTGTCGCCTCGTCGTTCTTTTCCTCGCCATCGTTTTTTTCATTTCACCTCTTCATTCTCATCCTCTGCTTCTTCTCATCGTCGTCCTCGTCGGAGGAGGGGGAGGAGATTGAAGAGGGGGAGGAGAAGGAGGAGGAGGAGGGCTTGACTTAGCGCTGTTAGGAAACAGAACTAGGAGGAGGGGAAGACGGGGAGGAGGGGGAGGAGGAGGAGGGGGAGGAGATGACAGAGACGTAGCAAGCCGTAGGGCAGACTGCGCCGAGACTCAGGAGCAGATGAGGCGCAGGAGCAGGAGGAGCACATGAGGAGGAGGACGAGGAGGAAAAGAAGGAGGAGGAGGAGGACGAGGAGGAGGAGAATGGCAGGCCTGACGGGCCCCTGCACTCCTCGCGGGGCCAAGGCTCAAAGGAGGAGGGAAGCCGAGGTGCAGCAGCGACTCTTTGAGTTGAAGGGGGACCACTGGTGCCATGATTGTGGGCCCATGGGCCTTGCATCGCTCGGACCTGCGCATTTCTTCTCGGCGAGGAACATCGCGGAGCATCCTGGAGCACATTGCGAAGAAGAGATTCACGCACGAAATTAGAGCATGCGCAGGGAGTGGACGTCCGAGCGATGGCAGGATGGGCGCGAGAGGGCAGGGCGAGAAGGCTCGGTAGGGAGCACAAGCCGAGCGTAGTCGCTGTTCTGGCGGCGTGGACACCGCCCCTGTTTTTTTTCTGGGGGCTCTGCCCGAGAAGATCGCCCCAGGTTTTATGATGCAGGTTGCGGCGTGCGTAGTGTCAGGATCTCCAGACGTAGCGGCTCTGGAAGAGGAAGGGGGAGGACCAGGAGGACAACGACGAGCCGCAGGTGTTCCAGGGAGGGGGATCAGTAGGAGGAGGAGGAGGAGGAGGAGGAGGAGGAGGCGGAAAAGGAGAAGGAGGAGGAGGAGGACAGAGAGAGGGGGAGAGAGAGAGAGAGAGAGAGAGAGAGAGAGAGAGAGAGAGCGAATCAACAAAACAAAGAGGATGAGGAGGAGGAGGAGGAGAAGGAGGAGGAGGAGGAGGAGGAGGAGGAGGAGGAGGAGGAGGGTGAGGATCAGGAGGAGGAGAAGGAGGAGGAGGAGGAGCAGCAAAAGCAGTTGCAAGAGCAGCAGCTGGTGCTCCCGAGGAAGAGGAGCACTGGCAGCACGAGGCAGAGACAAGGAGATGGCAGCGCAAGCGGCAGCAGCCGCTGCTGGGGCAGCCGCAGGCGTCCCCCCGAGAGCGGGGGCAGCGACCGCCGAGGAGCGAGAGGTCCTCGGCCTCGTTCTCGGGATGGGGCACGGGAGGCGGGTCGGGGCCCGCGCGGTGCCCGCGAGGACCGCGGCCTGGAGAACCGGGAGCACGCCATGCGCCGCTACCGGGCCGTGGCCGAGCTGCAGGAGGAGGGGCCGGTGGCCCCCAATGTGGGGCTCCACTGTCGGGGGGGGGGAGGGTCGGTAGCAGAGGCATCTTCCAGACCTCGTGGCCCCCATTCTTCGTTCAGCACGTGCCCTGCAGCCCCCCCCCCCCGCATCCTCGCCCCCCCTCCCACCCGTCCGCGCACGTGCCCGGGACCATGCTGCGCTGACCTGCCTCTCTTCCTCTCCCCCTTTCGTCGGCGCACCTCGTGGGCAGCCTGCACCACTTCTCACGCTACACATCTTACACTGCATAGCTTGCGCCACGTTGCGTGCACCACATAGCTTGCACCATATACCTCTCACCACATACTTCTCACCACAGAGGCTGCACCATATAGACTGAATCACAGGGCTTACCTTTACTGAGCGCAAGTAGTAACTTTCTGTCGGGTCCACGCTTCCACACAATTCCCTCTAAGTGCAGTGGAGACCCATGCCAAGAAACCCCTTGCTTGCCTCCAGGGTGCCCTTGGGTTCTCGAGTTTCGATGGTCTTGCGATGGAAAGCGTGACGTTCCCACACCAAAAATCAATCGACATCCTGGGGCCTCAGGGTTGGGTTTCTTGTTGAAGGTTTCTTGTGGTCGAGCCCTTCCTGTAACTGGTATGCGCGTCCTCGTTCACGCCAACGTCGTCCCCCGTTTTCGTATCGTGGACGCCCCGTGCTATGTCCGCCGCTCTTGATTTTTCTCCAAAGTTGCCGCCCGTAGCCGGCTGTGGGCGATGCGTGTGTGCCTCGTGCGTTAGCGGATGTTGCTTGGTTTTTCGCCGGCAGGCCGCCCGTGGGCGCTTGATGGTACCCTCGCGGGTGCCTCGTTGTTGCCGCGTGCGTTAGTTGCACCCGGCGTGCAGCACCACACAGTACGGGGACGAACAGTGACATAAACATAAAATCTCGGAGGTCCGCGTGGCACTCCGAATTGTTATGTTCATGCCATTGTTTGATCCCCTACATCTTTCCCGCACGTGGGTAGCACCGCATGCATTGTACCACGTAAGTTGCACCACATCGATGCCACCACACAGTTTGCACCACATCACTTGCACCACACAACTTGCATTACCTAGCTTCAACCCCATAGCCTGCGTATCATCGCCCCAGTGCTTCTCATTCCGGTTATGTTTTCATGCTCGTCTTTCTGATTCTTCTCACTCTCCGTCTGCCGCTGCTCCTGCTACTCCTCCCCCGTCCATTTCAACCCAAGCTCTCCGCTTTTATCCCCGCGCCCAGCGACATTCACGCTGCCCCTCCTACTGTGCATGGCGCTAATTTGGTTCTCTATCTGCGAAAGAGCGCGTTCTGGGGTCGCTTGGACGGGGGGGGTGTTGGAACCGGAGCCCCCCCCTGGATAAGGGGGGGGGTTCGAACCTCCCCCCCCCTCTCGTCCCTCCCCCCCCCCTCTCGTGACAGAAGGGGGGGGGTTCGAACCCCCCCACCCCCCCCTTTCCTCCACTACTTCTCCTCTCTCCCTCTCCTCGGGTCAGCGCCTGCGTCGGCGGCGGCTGGCGGCGGCGGCGGCAGGGACGACGATTTCCCTTTCTGGGCAGGCGCCGGCGCCTGCGGCGGCTGGCGGCGGCGGGGAGCGTCGACGAGGACGACGGTGGTGGTGGTGGTAGGTTGTGGCGGTGGTGGTGGCGGTGGTGGTGGTTGTGGTGTTGGTGTTGTGGTGGTTTGTTGTGGTGGTGGTGGTGGTAGGTGGTAGGTGGTAGGTGGTAGGTGGTAGGTGTTAGGTGGTAGGTGGTAGGTGGTAGGTGGTAGGTGGTAGGTGGTGGTGGTGGTGGTGGTGGTGGTGGTGGTGGTGGTGGTGGTGGTGGTGGTGGTGGTGGTGGTGGTGGTGGTGGCGGTGGTGGTGGTGGTGGTGATGGTGGTGGGTGGTGGTGGGGGTGGTGGTGGTGGTGGTGTGGTGGTGGTTTGTGGTGGTGCTTTGTGGTGGTGTTGGTGGTGTTGGTGGGTTGTGGTGGTGGTGGTGGTTTGGTGGTGTTGTGATGATGGTTTGTGGTGGTGGTGTTGGTGGATTGTGGTGGTGGCGGTAGTTTGTGGAGGTGGTGCTGGTAAGAGTAAGAATAACGGTAATAATAGTCGTGGTAATGTCGTAATTTGTGGTGGTGGTGGGTTGTGCCGCTGGTAGTGGTGGTGGTTGTGGCGGTGGTGGTGGTGGCGTGGTAGATTGTGGTGGTGGTGGTGGTAGTGATGGTGTTTTTTTTGTGGTGGTGGTGATGGTGAGTTGTGGTGGTTGTGGTTGTGGTGGTGGTGGTGGTTGTGGTAGCTGTGGTTGTGCGGTGGGTTGGTGGTGGTGGTGGTGGTGGTGGTGGTGGTGGTGGTGGTGGTGGTGGTGGTGGTGATAGTGGTGGTGGTGGTGGTGGGGGCAGCGGTGGTTATCGTCTTTGCGTCCACGTTGTCGCCAGCGCCAGCGCCGGCGGTGCTGGCCGCCGCCACTGCCGGCGCCGGCGCCGGCGCCACGGGGTGGGGGGGTTTGGACCCCCCCCCCTTTTGGGCTGCCTCTGGTCATCGTCGCTGCGTCCCCGCCGTCGGGGCTGTTGGTGGCCGCCGGCGCCTGCGCAGGGGGGGGGGGGTCTAACCGCCCCTCCCCTTTTCTTGGGAGGGAGGGAAGGGGCCGGGGGGGGGTCGGGAGGGTGGTGGGCTTGGGGGGAGGGGAGCCCTCTTGGTTTTGATCGACGGCGCCGAGTGTTGGGGGGGGCACCTCCCGTTTCGAAACGCGCCGCCGAATGTTCCCAAGGCAAATGCCAGTGAAACACGTTCTCTCCTATCGGCCCACGGGTGTTCCCCCCACACAACCCCAACGTGTGATGTGCGGTCAGTAAAAGGAGTTGTACACAGAGGAGGAGGAGGTGGCGGGTGAGCAACCGAAAGAACAGCATTGGATCCAGAAGGGTGTGGCCCGCGTTGGGGCGAGTTCGTCATTCTTAACAGAGGGGGCAGGTCGCCGATCTTGAAGTGTGGACAGCGGTGCATCGGAACAGGGCCCCAGAAAAGGCCGAGAAAGGTTGTGATCAGGAGAAGGTTCACTGAGAGCTAAGTCGGTACCATGTTGCGTGTGAGAAGCAGTGTGCGGGATGGGCGGGCGAGCAGGAAGGCAGCATCAGGGGAGAGAGCACAGTAGTACTCATACTGCGCTCACCATTCGCCGATTGCAGTGTAGCTGCACGCTGGCCTTACCGCGATCGTTGCTGGGAGGTGTCCGCTCCCTTTCACTCCAGCAGATCAAGTTGTACTCACATTGAGCAGTTGCAGAAGGAGGAATGGGGCCGCGGGGCGAGGTCGAGTATGACGAGAAGGCGGGAGGGCAGCGGGTGCAGGAGCGGGCGTCGGAAGACGAGGAGGAGGAGCAGCAGCAGAAACAAGAAGGACGAGGAGGAGGAGGAGGAGAAGGAGGAGGGACATGAACATGACCAGGACGGGAAGGGAACAAAAGGAGGGGGATGCTGGGGACCAAGTGAGATGGATGGCACGAGGCGTTCCAGGAGCAGGACGTGGACGTGGATCCGGACGACAAGGATGACGATGACGATGACGATGACGATGACGATGAGGACCACGCCCACGGCCACGACCATGCTGACGACGACGGACGCGGCGGCGGTGGCGGCGGCTGCGGCCGCGGCGGCGGCGCGGGGGTGGAGGCGAACTCGCAGATGTACAATCGCTTGGTCGCAGAGCCCGAGCTGGCCCAGATGCGGGCCGAGGCCGCCAGACTGGACCGCGACGAGGCCGACGCGGACTGGACTCTGCCGCCGCCGCCGTCGTCGTCCCAGTCGCCACCGCATTCGCCGCCGACGTCGTCGCAATTGCCGCAGCCGCCATCGTCGCCGCGGCCGTCGCCGTCGTTGCCGCCATCGCCCGAGGCCGAGGCGGACCGGACGTTCAGCTCTCTCACGCGTGACTTCGAGGAGTCTCGGCTCCCGCCTTTTCTGCGACCGCTTGCGGCTATCCCGAGCTTCCTTTGCTTGTTTCCTCTTGTGGGCCATCGGGGGGGGCTCCTCAGCGCCACGGCCGGATCCCCTTCAAGGACAGGATCTAACGATCCATGTCCACCACCTGTGGAGGTAGTGGAAATGAGCGCTGGCTGAAGCATCAGCGGGCTTCCCCTCATCGGCGGTGAGCCCAGGGGGGACGTGAGAAGGAGAAGGCTTTCTCTGCAGGTTTGCGAGAAGTGTTCTAGGCCTTCCCCGAAGACGCAGGACATTTCTCAGAAGGCGCGAGGGCTTCTGAGAAGTCCCGCCGTCTTCTGAGAAGGCCTCATCCTCCTCCTCAGTTTCCCCCTCGTTTGCCGCCGAACTAAGTTAGCGACGATGTGGTCGGCGTTTCTGGCAGACGCGTGAGTCCTGGCCAGTACTGAGGAGTCTTACATTCTCATGCTCTCTGTTCTTGCCGCCCCAGTGAGCGCCTACGTCGAGCATGTTCCCATTTGGACCCCTTTGGCCATGTCCATTGCTTCCCGACGTGTCCTGAGAGATCGGTCCCGAAAGTGGCGGACATGGATTCATATGACTTCGGATCCGCTTCGAAATCCCGGCCAGAGTGCATCCTGGAGAGACCTGGGGGTTGACTCAAGGTTCGGATCCTCTTCTTGAGGGGACAATGGGAGGGAGGAGGAGGATTCGGAATGTGGATGGTCTTCGCATTTTCGGCCCTCCTGGAGGCCCTCTTGGGAGGCCTCGAAATCTTGGTCCAAACGCGCTGCCACTATTCGAAGGATGCCTGCTTGCCCGCAAGCCTTCGGGGGCAAGAGATTGCCCTCCTCCACGGCGAAGGGGGTCCATGAGGGATTGCGAGCAGCTTGATCGCGAGCAGCCGCTCAACGGTTCAAGAGCCCATTTGACTTTTTGCACAGTGCGACAGTTACGGTATCTTGTTGCCTGCAGAATTTGTTTCTTCCGTGCCAGCCACGTGCATTTGTTCTGACTACAACACTTCTTCCATTTCACTCTTTCGCACGAGCTGCATCTGAATCGTGACGACTGTGCCTCGCCATGATTGTGCTGACTGTGGTGAACGATCATGGTACACATTTGTGGCACAGAACAAATCAGCTACACTGTAGCGACATCACAGGATACTCATTCGACGCGTTAGAGACCAGGAATAAAAGCAGCATGGTCTGCAAGGTTTCTCGTTTGTCTACAAGCAGGTCTATCCCTGATCCCGGGGGCAGCTGCGGTATCGATTGCCCCAAATGACGCATTATGATGCCTTGTGTTTCTCTTCTTCCCTGTCTTCCTTCCCCTCCAGTTGTACTTCGACGCCCTCGTATATAATTTATGTGGCGTCCGAGCCCCTGGACCCAGGGGCAGCACACCTTCCCGGAACTCCCCCGCCCCCCGCCCCCCTGGCAACCCACCCTCGCTCCGGGGTCCCGGGTTTCTGCCAGGAGCTCTGGGGGGTATAGTTCAAGGGAGGAAAAACCACCCGGACCGGACAATTGGAGTTTACTAAACGGCCCTGGGCGTTTACTAAATAGCCCTGCCTTGTTTGATTCCTTCTTTGGGTGCGTTTACTAAACGGCTTCGCGTGTCGGGGTGGTTATTCTCGGGGTGGATGTTTTGCCTTCTAATAGTGCCGCTTCAGAAGGCCTCGCAGCCACAACTTCGGCCTCCGAGCGGCGCCAGGGACCGCCAGGAGGCCCAAGACCTGCCCGCGGAGGCCCGCTTCCAAGCCAAGATGCCCAAGACTTGTCCAAATGACTTGCCGTCTGACCGCCAAGATGCCCAAGACGCCGTCCAGCATGGCTTCAGTCAGGGGGAATATTCAAAACTATGTGTTTTTTAAAAAACAAAAAAACAAAAAATAATAGTCCGGGGACCATTTTTAAAGTAGTTTTCAAACTACAGGTTTGAGATATGCTTGAGTATTTGTTTGATGATTTATTTGTCGACCAGACACGCCCGACTTAGGGCATGGCGTCAGGATCGCCCGCCGACGTCTCCGGGACGCTCCCCTCCTCGCTCGGGGCGCGCCGCCGGCGCCCCCCTCCCCCCGTCGCTCCCCGAGGAGGCGCGGGAGCGCCAGCGGCACCAGGCTGCCGCGGCGCAGGCGCGCCAGGTGGGCGCCTCTGTCTCCTCGTCGTCGTCGTCCTCGTCGGCGGCGGCGGCGGCGGCGTCGTCGTTGTCCTCGGCGTCGGCGTCGTTGGCGTCGTGATCATCGGCCTCGTCGTCGGCGTCGTCGGCGTCGGCATCGTCGTCCTCATCGGTTCTGTCGGGGCCGTCGGCGAGGTCGGCCTCGCATGCAGCGTCGGCGCTGTCGTAGTTAGCCTCGTCTGCGTCGGCGGCGTCGCCAATGGGACCGGTCAGAGGAGGAGGAGGAGAAGGAGGGGAGAAGGAGAAGGACCGGAGGGACCAGAGGGAGGGTTTTTGTCGGGGGATATCAGAGTTGACTAAGCTGTGAGCATTTCGGCAGAAGCCAGCACGGAACTCGCAGAACAGTGAGACTAACGACTCTGCACGGACACCAAGGCAGTGTCCTTCCCACCCGCATGTCACCATCCCTCCGAAAGTCCCATCTTCTCAAATCAAGCAGCAGGACAGGCATCGGGTCGTACTCAGGATCGACTACCGTATCGCCGGTGCTCGGCCACTCTGGAGGGGGAGGGATGGTGGGAGGGAGGGAGGACGCATGATACCCCCAGCCGCGGGAGGAAGCGGCACTCAACTCGCCAAGCGAAACCAGAGTTGGACCCCAAACGGTGCACAGCAGGCGCTGACGGGAAGACAGAACTGCATGAACATTCGGCGCGGGAGCCAGTAGCAGGTCAAATGGCAGCACGAAGAATCTCAGCAACCTCAGCGACGAAGCCGACGGCACCTGTCGTCCAGAAGCGCCGAGGCCAGAGAGGGAACAAGTCCGACCCAGAACGCCCGCGCCCCGCACTGCTGACATTCCCTCCTCCACGTCAAGAAGCTTGACTGACCTCGGCTCAATCTGAAGGCAGACAGACTGACTGGGGAACTCGGCCAGACATGAGGGGGGGGGAGGGGGGGGGAGGAGGAGTGCGGAGTAAAGCAGGGGCAAAACAGGGGAGTCTCATCGAGCCGGGGAGGGGGGGGGGGGGCGCGCGCAGGGTACAATGACCTTGCCCTACATCGTCACAGGAATTTGGCAGCCTAGTCGAGACCACGTCGCCTTCGAGGGAGGAGTTGCGAAAGGAATCGCCGGGCAATAATCACGTCATTCTCACCTGGCGACGTCGGAATCGCAAGTGGCGTCTCGGGCAGAGGTCCTGGCTGCACCCACCAGCGCACGTGCATGCGGAGTACGGCATCACCCACAAGCCCGTCCACGCGATCCGGCAAGGGAGCGATCAGCCGGAAGATCAAGGATTGTGCCTGAACGCGCCCATCCTCACCGCTCCGACATATCTCAGGAGGGAAAAACACACAGACACAATTAATCACCGATTCCCCAGAAAAGATTGGAAACTGTAGGAAGTGGAGGGGAAGACGAAAATCCCAAAACTGTGGACAACTGTTGGGAATATCTTTTATTTGTATGTGTTCATTTGTGTGTGTCCTTGCGCCCCTTCCAAGAAGTGTGCCTGAACGCGCCCACCTGCACCCCTCCGACAGATCGGTGCACTCGCAGCACCACGTCGAGGTACAGTAATCACACGAGCGGCGGGAGGCCGACGGCGTCCGCACGCGGCGTCAGCATGAGGCGGGGGGGCGCGCGCGCGACTGACGGCTGACCTCCATCCAGCGCTCGGTCTCCGCGGGCGGATGGCGCGCCCAGGCCGCCCGCGGGCAGGTGACCTCGGGCAGGGACGCGGCGTGAGCAGCGGCTGGCAGAGCTCGAGCACCAGCTGTGGACGAGGCTCGGCGGGAGCAGCACCTCCTCTGGACAGGGCGTCGGCAGCAGGCCGATGGCCTCTGGCCCTGGGGCCCATCCGCCGCACGAGGATCCCGCACGGCGTCCGCCTGAGGCATGGCGGCGGCAGCACTTCCTCCAGACGCGGCGTCGGCAGCAGGCCGATGGCCTCGGGATACGGGCGCGCCAGCGGCAGACGGAGACCAGCCACGGTTCCACGGAGCCTCGGTCAAGGACGCCTCCAAGGGCCATCCCTGCAAGCCGCAGCGAGATAGCCAGAGGAGCTTGTGTCGAATTGCAGTTGTCGGCAGCACTAGCGGCTCGCTGGGGGCCACGCACCTGGCCGGTGCAACCCGCTGTCGCAGCGGAACGTAGAACGCCTGCGGATACGCCGCGGCGCCCAGGTAGCTGGCGTGCAGCCCGCCCGGGCCCAGCAGCGACAGCCTCACGCGGCGGCGCACCCTGTGTTGCGTGAGGCGCAGCATCAGGAGCCGCGCCTGCAGGACCTTCAGGGACACGATGGGCATGGTGCGGCTGCGAGACGACACCACTCATGGAGCCGGTAAAGGAAGCGGCCCGCTCCGGTACGCAATGGCGCTCGTTGATGCCATGCTCCAGCGGTTGCGGCAACGCGCGGCGCGGCTGCCCCAGTGCCGCGGCCTGAAGCCGGGGAACGGTGGCGGCAGCCAATGCCGCGCCATCGGCCATGCTCGACATGCTCGACGGCCTGCGAACGCGACAAGCATAGCCAAGATGCGCAATCACAGCGCAGGAACTGCGACGAGCGAGATTGCGGTTGGGCCTCGTCGAACGGTGAAGGGCATCAGCGCGCTCGACGGGATGATCTCGTGGCGCGTCGCGGTTGCCAGCTCCTGCGACAGCGGGGTCAACGTGCATGGCAGCTGTCCCGGCAGAAGAGGGCCTGGCGCAGCACCCTGAGTGCTGGATGGGCCTTCAGCCTGGAAGGGCGCTGACCTGGGACGGCTTCTGGAAGGAGGGAGGAGGGCGAGGAGGGTGAGGAGGGCGAGAAGGAGGAGGAGGAGGAGGAGGAGGAGGAGGAGGGCGTTAGGGGGAGGAGGGAGAAGGAGGTGGGCTGATGCAGGAGGGTGCTAGGGGAGCTGACGAGAGAGAGAGAGAGACAGAGGGAGATGAAACGAGAATTGAACGAGAGGCAGGGAGTGAGAGCGAGAGGGGTAGTCGCAGAGGGATAAGACGGACCATGTTGAGGAGGGAGCGAGAGGGAGAGTCGCACAGGGAAAAGACGCACGATGATGAACAGACGGACGATGATGAGGATGAGGAGGAGAGGGGGGAGGCGAGTACTACGAGGAGGATGAGACTGGATGATGAGGATGAGGACAACGTTGATGGATGAAGACGAGGATGAGGAGGTTCGAGGACCGAGGAACGGAAGGATGGAGCTTTTCGCTTGAGTGGCCGCATGTCTTTTCGTCGCCCGGCTCTCGCATGGGATTGCACGACGGCCATTCGCACGTATACATTGCAAATCTTCCTCCGTGCCGCATGTGCCGCCAGCCGTGTGTGTTACCGGATTCCTCGTACCGGTAGGGACAAACGTATTTGACGTTAGATGTTTATGTTTGCACGCAGGTTTGAAGTCCGTGCGTGGCTATCAGATAATCGAAATGTTGTCTGAAATTGCCTTTGGCTGGAGCCTATATTGGGCACGTGTCTGGCATACTTTAAGTGGGGTATCGATCGGGGAGCTGATCACAGAGTGAAGGCACGACTGGCTTGCAGTGTTCAAGGCCCCCGGAATATTAGTTCAAGGAGTTTTGTCATGGGCGGAGGTTCGAGGATTATCGTTGGGATTGACCGTGTTCTCAGTTTGTTGTTCGCCCTCCTTGGTCCGTGACAGCGGGTGCTCAGACAGAGTTGGATTCAGTTTGTAACGATCGGTTGAAGTACTTAGTTTTGAATTACATTCGCTTGAGCACGCGGATTTATGACACTCTTATTTTGCGCTTCGAAGCACAAGCTTTCGGACTGTGCCCACAGTTTTTCAATCACATTGAAAGTCAGAGCCAAGTCGACGTTATGTCGTTGGCATCTGCTCACACCCAGGTGAAGACAAAGACGTCGTCGCTCTTGCTCGCCCACCTCCCCATGATCATAATTCTCTTCATCTTCCTCCCGCCCCCCCTCCTCATGGGCCGAGGCACTTGAAAGGATTTTGGCCCTTGTTGACCCTCCAGAAGAGCCTCCAGAGGCCTTCGGCGTTGACGACCGACGACCGACGGCGACGGCGGCGACAACGTTTTCCGCAATTCATCGACGACGCGGGCGGCGGCTGGCGACGACCAACGACGGCGCCGACGGGCGATGACGGAGGCGACCCACAACTTCGTCGACGACCAGCGAGGACGACGACGTCGACTGACGACTGACGAAAGACGACGACGACGACGACGACGACGACGACGACGACGACGACGACGACGACGACGACGACGACGACGACGACGACGACTGACGACGACTGACGACCACGACGACAGCGACGACAGGCTGCGGCCACGACCGACCACGATGACCTGCGAGGGGTGGCAACATCACTGCTCCGAGCGGGTCGCCGGCTCAGGGGCCGGGCTCGGCGGCGGGTGTCCGACGTGGCCAGTACGAGGAGAATTCCGTTCCAGGGCGTCGCAGAACGCTCTCGGAGCGCTCCGGAGCGTTCCGAGGAGGCTGCGGCGCCCGAGACATCCTCCAGAGCCGCCGGATCTCGGAGATTCTGAAGTGAGCGACGGAAGCGAAAGGGGCCGTCTGCGCCGACATTGGCGCGTAAGCTGCCCGCGTAGGGTCGCGCGTAAGCGCCGTCTTCTCCAAAGTAGCGTGCCGTGCTGGCGGCCCGCCTGAGCCACCGCGTGAGGTCGCCACGTCATCTCGCGTAAGTACTGGTTCCGTCGCCGTTTTTTGACCGGTTCTGGCTCCGGTTCTAATCCTGGATTCGTTTTTGTTGCCGTTTCCGGTCGCCGTTTTTGTTGCCGTTTCCATGTTGAAGGGGCACTTTTCCGGAAACGGTGAAAAAACGGCCCTGCCGTTTCCGGGGCCCGCTAAGCGTAAGACACGTTTTTTCTCGTCGTTCCAGCATCCTCCTGAGCCGCTGGACCTCGGGGACCCTCGCTGTATCCACGCACACACCCGACTTTATCCTCGTCCTGGCCTCGTCTCAGGGTGCGTCGTCGCCTCGCCCCCTGCGGCGGTGCGGGGCCGTCCGCGCCAGCGGCTGCGATGGCCACGCCGGCGGCGCAGGGCGCGCCTCCCGCGGCGGACGCCGAGGCGCCTGTCGTCGTCGTCGTCGGTCGTCCTCGTCGTCGTCGTCGTCGTCGTCGTCGTCGTCGTCGTCGTCGTCGTCGTCGTCGTCGTCGTCGTCATCGTCGTCGTCCACGCCGTGGTCGCCTGCGGTGCTGGATGTGCACGCTCGCTCTCAATGCGGGGTGCCAGAGACCCAACCATCCAGCGTCTCGAAAAGATCGAGACGCGAGTTCGTCCTCGTTTTCGGCCTCTCGGGGCCCTCATCGCTCCTCGGGGCTGTCAAGCAACGACTCGGGATGAAACTCCGGTCCCGGGCAAACAGTCGAGAGGTCGGGGCCCCGGGTCTCGCAAGAGTCGAGGCGGCCGATGGCTTGGGACGGGGGTCAATGCCAACGAGGGTCAGCCAGAGCGCCAGATCTGGCAGTACCCTGCTTGGCCAGGGGTGCTCTGATCCGGGCTCGGGTGCAGGATCCTGCAGGATCCTGGAGGATCTTGCAACGCGCCCGGCCGACCCCTGTTTTGGACTGGCTCGGATCAGTACATATATATATATATATATATATATTTATATCCCCCATCAGTCTCCTGAAGGGCCTCGTCCCCAGCCAGCCTGAGATTAGCGTGAGGCATCTGGCCTGCACTTCTCCCAGTGATATGCCATAGGGTCCTGCGACGGGTCTCCCAGCCAATCGCAATTGATATAAAACCAGGGCTTCTTGGTTTGCCGACCCATTCGTCGAGTAAGATGGGCAGGCGCCTGCGATCATGACTTGAGGTAAGGTCTATTGTGTTTTCGGTGATTGGAGAGGAGGCGTAGCACTAAACTCCATACACGATGTCGAGCTCATTCTCAACGCGCAGCGCTAGCCTACAGCACTAGCGCACAACATCGGAAAATAGTGCACGATTACAGTACGTATGCACAGTGTTGATACATGCGACGCTGTTACACAGCTTCTTAAACATATAACTACCACCTAATACCATGCATGGTTCGAATACGCATTATACGCCCATAACACGATTTCCCGTACATGCACTTGGCTGACCCGTACCGAGCACACATTGAAGTAGCATGGTACAGTTTACGCTACCTTGAGTGGGCCCAGACTCCGTGCATATAGACAAGACTTGGCATCATTCGGACGTCGGACGTACTTTTTTTTCTCGGCGAGGCGAGCGCCAGAAAGCTTGGACATCCTTGAAGCAAAATGGACAATCCCGAGAAGAATACACATCACATGCACGAAACCAAGCAATGCACGGGGAATGGACGTCCGAGCAATGGAATACATATTCGGATCCCCACGAGTCCTTGGAATCAAATGATTGCGATGGCGGATGAAGTATGGTTGGAGGAGTGAGCGAGGGGTACGCGGAGGTTGATGGGGGTGGTGAGGAGTAGATGGAGGAGGGATGCAGATGATGATGGCCAGTCTACATGGTGCATGGAGTTCCGAGCTCTCGATTGCGACAGAGGAGGAGGAGGAGGAGGAGGAGTAGGAGGAGGAGGAGGAGGATGAGGAGCAGGAGGAGGAGGACGCGGAGGAGGAGGAGGAGGAGGAGGAGGAGGAGGGGGAGGAGGGGGGGAGGAGGAGGAGGAGGAGGAGGGAGGAGGAGGAGGGGGGGCCACAAGCCTTGCTATCCCGGGGGCAGTCTTGATCCAGATGGCGCCAGGCGTTCTTCAGAGGCACGGCGTGGGCGCATTGCAGCAGCCCGCCGCCTGGGACAGCACCTGTCTTCGAGGATGGGCCGCGGCTGACCCGGGTTAGCGAGCCGCTCGTGGCCGCGAGGCGAGGCGGCCGCGCATGTTGGTTGACCCGGGTTTGCGAAGACCTGCTTTGCAGTTTTTTTTCCTGCATTGCAGTTTTTGGGTTCCTGCTGACCCGGGTCTGGATTGACCTGGGTCAGAAGATCCCCGAGGCAGGGGCACCCATGCACCGCCACCGAGCCAGGTCAGGGCCATCCTGGGCCCCAGCATGGCGTATGCGGAACAGTGGCCGAGGCCAGGGGGTGCTACAGGCCATTCCGGGGCCCAGGATGGTCATGGATGACGGTCATGGCCTGGCGCGGTAGTGGTGTGCAGGTGTTTTCTGCGGTGGCATCCGTACATCGCACCAGCACGCCGTGTCAATACGCTAAGGTGGGGCCAGACTCCGACTGTGGGCCCCAATTCTCGGGATCGTCCGGACTTCAAGTACACAAGATATTGCATCCATCCGCTGCGCAAGTAAGTTGCACGAGTGCGTGGCGTTCCCGAGCCACGAACCCTGTGCGGAAGCGGAGCAATCTCAGCCCCATGCGCATTGGACGCCATTATTGTGACGCGCGTCAGTATAATGATTGAGTTCGCGGTGTGAATTTTCTGTACCAGCACGCAGTGATTATAGATCACTTCACTGTTGGTGTTCGCTGCTGTTGACGTGTCAGTATTCTGTCGCGGTGGTGTGTATACGTGTTGTGTTGTCGTTATCTGTCCTCGTTCAGTGATTTCGTTAGTATGTAGAATAGTGTTCTTGTTGATTTAGCGGGGACTCTCATGCTGAGTATTGCGACTTGCCTGGTCCCTCTTCCGTATTCTTCTGCCCATACCATCTTTCTTCCTTGTTCATGTTTGTTATTGCCCTTTATCCCCTATCGCTTTTCTCCTAGAGGCAATCGCGGAGGAGAAGAAGAAAAGGAAAAAAGAGGATGCGAAGATCTTCTTCGAGCAGAAGAAGAAGCAGAAGCAGGAGGAGAAGGAAAAGCGTGATGCCGCCATAGCGCGGGGCGAATTGCCACCCGAGCCCGAGAAGCCGAAGGTGGCGCCAACGTTGGTATCGTCGGCATCGGCGGCTGTGGTCGGTCATCGTCGGTCGTTTACCGTCGTCGCCTACGTCAGTGTCAGCGTCGGTCTCGAGTTTGCAAACGTCAATGCCGACGTCACCGTGAATGGAAGCATCAGTAATGGTGTCCATGCCAATATCGTTATCAACGTCCTCATCAGCACCAACGCCGTTGTTCACATCATCGTCGTCAGCGTCAATGCTAGCGCCAACGTCAGCGTCATCGTTGTTAGGCTCGTGTCTCGGGACACCAAAAGGTACCGATACCGCCACTTCCCAGACCTCTCCTGGGGTGCGCTCTGACCAGAATTTCGAAGCGAATCCAGCGGTGGCGACACAGGGGCCTCCCAGGAGGCCCATAGAGGTGAAAGCGGGGGCAGGGTAGCAGTTTTGGGTACCATTCCTCGGATGCAACTCCTGGGAGGTCAAATTCTGTTTTCGCCCTGGTCCAAAATCCGGCTTAATCCAGCTTAATCCCGCTTAATCCGGCTTACGCCCGCTCAATCCCGCTTAATCCGGCTTAATCCTGCTTAGTCCGAGGCCCACTCTTGCGTAACGGCCCCCCAATGGGGCTTAATGTTCCTTAATTCTTCCGACGAAAACCTCCCAGTAGTTGCCTCCTAACCATTCCCTCCGCTGAGTGTCGAAGGCGGCGCCGTTGAAGGAGCCGCCGCTGCTCTTCCCGCACGCGCAGGCCCTGCACAGCACCTTCTGGGACCCCAGCGCCGACCCGGACGCCCTGCGGGCCGTTGTGCAGGAGCTGCTGGCGGCACGGCGGCAGCTCGCGGCCGAGACCGAGGAGTCGTCCTCGCCGTCCTCGTCGTCCTCGTCTTCGCCCTCGCCGTCCCGTACCCCGTCGTCGTCCTCGTCGTCCCCGTCGTCGTCCCCGTCGTCGTCCTCGTCCTCGTCCTCGTGATCCCTGTTCTCGTCGCCGTCCTCGTCGTCATCCTCGTCGTTGCCCTCGCTGTCCTGGCCGTCGTCTTCGTCCTGGCCGTCCTCGTCCTCCGCGTCCTGTTCGCGTTCGTTGCCGTCGCTATCTGAGAAGGAAGAGGAATAATAATAATCATGATACTAATAATAAGAATAAGACGAGAGGGGTGGATCTGGAGGGTGAGCAGGCAAACATTCAGGCAGGGACATACGAAGGATGAGGGGGGTGTCGTAAAAGTGTACAGGAGGAGGAGGGGGAGGAAAGAACATGAGCAGGATAGCAGCAGGAAGAAGCTGCGGAGGCAGATGTGTAGGAGGAGGGATGGGTGGGAGGATGAGGGAAGTTGAGGAGGAGGAGGCTGCGGAGGAGATCTCGAAGAGGGACGACATACGTCAGAGGGGCAAGCTTGATCGCACCCCTGCTACCAGGACATACCAAGTCGTGCCAAGCACCGGTCTACCTTGTGTTTCCCTGTCCGATGGCAGCTCGGTGCAGAGAATGATGGAAACGTCGGGTCCGGAAGGGAGTTCTAATTTCTCATGTGTTTCTTGTTCGGTTAGTTCGTCCTTTGGTTATTAGCCATTCTTGGTTCATTTAAGGCAACGCATTCGGGTCCCACCTTGGTTACGAGTTTTTGAACGCAGACTTTCGATTGTATGGGTTGGTAGCAGTGGCCCCCGTAAAGCTTGGTCGACCTTTCCCCTCTGAACGCTGAGAGCTGATCTTGCCAGGAAGTATGACTCCCAGAATATTCGAGCGGCTGGTCAGGTGTCAGCCTCGCTTCTGCAGGAAAGAGGCGCAGAGCTCTAATCTCCATGGCCAGCTTTCAGTAGTGACTGAAGACGTTCTGTCGAGGAGGCATGCACTTTCTGGGCGATCACTGATGGGGTCCGCAGAGAAACGCTCAAAGGATATCAGATGGTTTTGCCGCTGAGTTTGCATTGCCCAGCGGATCCTTGCACGAGGGCCCCAATGACCATGGGCCTCATACTTACAGCACAGCTTGAGTGAACATCCACCATAAGGGGACCGCATGGTTTTACAATGTTCTTGTGTACACGGGAGAAGTATTGCGAAGGCCTGACGGCCGGTGCCGCCGACCCTGTTCGCAATGCGCAGCAAGAGATTACGAGGTTGCTCAAGGTCGGCTTGGCTGGAGCCCAGGGGAAGAGGAGTCCCAGGGGGGGGCGTCGTATCTGACCCGGGGGGGGGGTCGCTACCCCCCCCCCCCTCCCGGCGGGGGAGGGATCAAAGGGAAGGGGCTTCCCTTCGACTCAATTACGAGGTTGCTCAAGGTCGGCTTGGCTGGAGCCCAGGGGAAGAGGAGTCCCAGGGGGGGGCGTCGTATCTGACCCGGGGGGGGGGTCGACACCCCCCCCCCCCTCCCGGCGGGGGAGGGATCAAAGGGAAGGGGCACAGCTTGAGTGAACATCCACCATAAGGGGACCGCATGGTTTTACAATGTTCTTGTGTACACGGGAGAAGTATTTGTTACGCGGCTGGATTGAGAGTTCGCGGTGCGAGTTTGTCGCTGCATGTCGTTATGATGTGTTTGACTGATTGTTGATGGTTGATTTTCTCGCTGACTGGCTGACTGGCTGGCTGATCACCCTGATCCGCATGTTTTTTATGTTTCGGCCGCCGAATGGGAAACCCATGACGCAACCAATAGCAGATCGTTTCATGGTTGGTCGCCGACCGTGCAACCTGTGGTGCAACCAATAGCAGGTCGTTGTTTGTCGACGCAGGGTGCACAACATATGGCGCAAACTGAGGAGCACCCCACGGATGGCGCGTCCCATGCGGAACTCAATGGCGCAACGCAGAGACGGTGCATCCGATGGCGTAGTCGATGGACGGCGGAGCCCATGGGCGGCGAAACTTGTGACCCAACCTCTCGATCGCTCAACCCATGGCGCTGCTAATGGTGCAACGCATGGTGGCGCAGTCCATGGGCGGCGCGCCCACGGGCAGCTGTGACGGGGCTGCGCCAGCTGTATGCCCGCCGTTCGGGCTGGCGATGGAGCCCAAGCGGCGAGCTGCCTTGTGCTCGTGTTGGTCGCCGCCGTCCCGCGACTCGCCCGCGGCCCGAGTGCGGCCTGCACCGCGTCCCGACCCGATGCTCGCCTGCGCCCCGGCCCACGACCTGCCCCGCGCCTCGCCGGCAGCTCTGCCTCGCGGCCCGCCCCGCGCCCCGCCGCCCCCGGCCACCCGCCCCCCGCCGCGCCCCCGCGCCGCGCGCCTGGCCGCGCGCCTGGCCCCCCCGCGCTTCCCGGCGGCAGCCCGCCGACGGCCGCTCGCCCGGCCGCGCCTCCGAGGCCGCCCCGCGCCTCCGCCGACTGCCGCGCCCTCGCGCCCGGCCCGCGCGACCCGTCCCCGCGCCTCCCGCGCCTCGCACTCCGCCGACGGCCCCGCCCGCGATGCGCGCGCGCGCCTCCGAGGCCGCTCCCCCGGCGGCCCGCGCCCCGGGCGGCCCGCGCCCCCGGCGGCGCGCGGCCTCCCCGATGCGGGGCTCAGGCGACGGGGGGTCAGCGCTGCCGGGGGGCCAGCCGGGCCCCTCTCTGGCTGCCCCCGGATCGCACAGATCACGGATGGCCCTCGGGGTGTTGAAGGTTGTTGGTTTTCTCCCCTCTTCGCCTTCTTGGCGCTCCAAGGCGGTCCGAGAGGCCCCCAAGGTCGCCCCCAGACGGCCCAAGCGGCCTCCAAGAGGGCCCCAAGAAGGCCGAAGATGGCCCCAAGACGGCCCAAGAGGCGCCAAAGAAGGCCCTAAGAGGGCGCCCATGGCCGTCTAAGACGTCCCCGCATGGCCGTCTTAGACGGCCATGTGGGGACGAATCCCACTTTCCGCCCTCCTTTGACCTGGGTTTGCGAGCTACTCAGCGGTCGACTTTGCTTCGCGTCAGGGCCATGGCAGGTGTGCTGACGCCGTGGCGTGGTTTGCGATCGGTGCCGCTGGATCTTCCAGAGGGTCACCCCTTTGCGCCGGAGCTTTGATGGGCTCTCGTCGAGGCGCAGCGGAGATCTCTGTCGAGGTCCTCGCCCGCCCACCCAGGCGCGGGTTACAGGCCGCACCCGTTGCAATTCACACTTCTCGGAGTCGTCGACCCGACCCCGACCGCGGGCCACCGCCGTCTCGGTGCGTGCGCCCTCTGGCCTTCCACCGGGCGCCATCTCGCTGCCACGGCTGGGCGCAGAGGGCGTCCGCTGGTGCAGTCGAGGCGCCGAAGCACGGACCGCTTTGGCTTCGGAAGGGGTTCGCTTTTCCTCAGGGCGTTCAGTGACTGTTCTTCTAGCCCTCCTCGTGCACTCGGGCTCCCCAGGCGCCAAAAAGGGGTGTCGTTCCCTATTTTGCGTTCCTTCTCCTTCTCGCAGCCCTTTCGCTGTAGAGATTGGCAGCACGCACGCATGCTGGGCGGCGCTCTCTTGGGGTCGTCTTTCGCGCGCGGCGACGGGGGCATCCCTCGGAGGGTGGCAGCGCGAGGGCCGCGGAGACGAGCTCGCAGCGCGAATCCGCGGAGTGGGCGACCCAGCTGGGCCGCGTCTCTTCCTCGCCCCTCCCCTCATCCTCCTCCCCTCCTCCTCCTCCTCCTCTCCTCCTCCCCCTCCTCCTCCTCCTCCCCTCCCCCTCCTCCTCCTCCTCCTCCTCCTCCTCCCTCCTCCTCCTCCTCCTCCTCCTCCTCTCCTCTCCTCCTCCTCCTCCTCCTCCTCCTCCTCCTCCCTCCCCCTCCCCCTCCCCCTCCCCCCCTCCCCCCTCCTCTCCCCTCCTCCTCCTCCTCCTCCTCCTCCTCCTCCTCCCCTCCTCCTCCTCCTCCTCCTCCTCCTCCTCCTCCCCCTCCTCGATCTGTGGCAGGCCCACGGCGGCAAGCGCGCTCGAAGACCCCAGCGCACGCCGCTGTGGGCGGGCACGGGTCGGCCCGGGTCTGCGCGCAGGCCCCGCGCGCGGCAGGGAGACGCGACCGCGGCCCCGCTGCGCCTCGCGCCGTCGGCCCCGCGCTCCCCTCCCCCCGACCACGCCCCGCTCGCCACGCTCCGCTCCGGCACTGGCAAGCTTCCAGGCTTTCTCTCCGACTACGGGGCCTTGGCATCGCTCGGGCGTGTGCATTCTCGGCGAGAACCTTCGAGGACCATCCTGGACAATCGAGCATTTTAAACACGCACGAAACCGAACAATGCACGGGACATGGACCAGCGGTGGCAGTGCGGCTGCGGGAGTCGTCCAGAACCCCCCCCCTCGTTTCGGTCCAGTGCTCGTCGCTGCGGTTCACAGGAACATCGTCCAGTAGTCATTTGCAGTACGTGGCCAAATGCCGCGGATCTTGCAAAGCCCGACTGACCCGGGTTTGCATTGACCTGGGCCAGTCGATCTCTGAGGCTGGCTCGGCCAGCGGCAGCCGGCAGGAGCAGCACCTGCTCGCCCAAGGAAATGCCCAGGCTGGGGTCCGAATTTCTGGGGCGGGTAAAGTAGGCGGCATCTCCTGAGGGTCTCGCCTGTCTCCAACATTCAACACTGGTGTCTTCTCCTGTGCCCGAGGCGGGCTCGATGCGCGGACTCGACGCGGAGTTGGCCAGGACTCGACGCGGATCTCGACACGGATGCGACACGGATCCGGCGAGTCCGATATGGATCCGACGCGGATTCGACGCGGATGGGGCCGCAACGGGACAGGAAAGGTCCCCCCAGGATTCGCAACATGAGGTAAATCGTCGTCGTGTTGGCGCGGTTGGCCTTAACTTGTTTCGCAGCCCAGCCATTTGGGCGTCCACTTTTCTTCCTGGCATAATCAGCTCTCGGACGTAGCTCAGCCGGCGCGGAGAAAGGCGTTGCTGAAGGTGGGCTTCCGCATTATCTTCTTGTTTCCCCCCTCTGCATGCTGTTGTTCATCCTCGCCCTCCTCATGATATTCCTCTTCAGGCCCCTCCTTCTCCTACTCCGTCCTCTACGTACGTATCATCGTGTGCCTTCTTCCTGCTCCGTCCCATTCCTTCTCTTATCATTCGCCTCAGTTGCGTGCACCCCACTGTCAGGTTATCCCTATCGTGTTATTGAATCGCTTCGCTCATTCCGCCGGCCCGTATTGTGCCATCGCGGGTTCTTGGGGGGTCTTGGGAGCCCTTGGAAGCTTCGTGGGAGCTTCTTGGGAACTTTGGGAGGCCTCGTGGATGGCTCTGGGTGGGCCCTCTTGGTGGTCTCTTGGGGGGATCTGCCTGGCCTCTTGGGGGCCTCCTGGGAGCTTCCTGGGGGTCTCTTGGGGGCCTCTTGGGGCTTTCTTGCGACCTGTTGGGGGCCTCTTGGGGCTCTCTTGGGGGCTTCGTGGGGCTACTTGGGGGCTTGTGGGGGCATTTCGGGGGCGTGTTTGGGCGGGAGGCTCAAAATTTCCGTTCAGGTTGCTCCTGTGGACCTCAATCATGGGGCCGTCTTGGGGCCTCTTGGACCGTCTTGAGGGTTTCTTGGGCCTTCTTGGAGCGCTCTTGGGCCGTCTTTGAGCGGTCTTGAGGGTCTCTCGGGCCGTCTTGGGGTGATCTTGGGGGCCTCTTGGACCCCTTGAAAGGTGTGAAAGACGAAGGGGCGGATATGTTAAAAATGCACGTTGTCCGAGGGGAATGAGACGGTTTTTGCTTGTGGGAGCCCTCTTGGGGCGCCGCTTAGGGACCTCTTGGGGCGTCTTGAAGGCCTGTTGGGCCGTCTTGAGGCCATCGTAGGCGCTTGGGGGTGATATTTCGGCGTCTCCCGGCTCTCTTGGACCGTCTGGAGGGCTTCTCGGGCCCCTCTTGGACCGATTTGGAGCCCTCCTGGGCTCCGAAAAAGAGTTCTTGAGGGTTTCTTGGGCCTTCTTGGAGCGCTCTTGGGCCGTCTTTGAGCGGTCTTGAGGGTCTCTCGGGCCGTCTTGGGGTGATCTTGGGGGCCTCTTGGACCGCCTTGAAAGGTGTGAAAGACGAAGAGGCGGATATGTTAAAAATGCACGTTTTCCCAAGGGAACGAGACGATTTTTGCTTGTGGGAGCCCTCTTGGGACGCCGCTTAGGGACCTCTTAGGGACCTCTTGGGGCGTCTTGAAGGCCTGTTGGGCCGTCTTGAGGCCATCGTAGGCGTTTGGGAGTGATATTTCGGCGTCTCCCGGCTCTCTTGGACCGTCTGGAGGGCTTCTCGGGCCCCTCTTGGACCGATTTGGAGCCCTCCTGGGCTCCGAAAAATAGTTCTTGAGGGTTTCTTGGGCCTTCTTGGAGCGCTCTTGGGCCGTCTTTGAGCGGTCTTGAGGGTCTCTCGGGCCGTCTTTGGGTAATCTTGGGGGCCTCTTGGACCGCCTTGAAAGGTGTGAAAGACGAAGAGGCGGATATGTTAAAAATGCACGTTTTCCTAAGGGAATGGGACGGTTTTTGCTTGTGGGAGCCCTCTTGGGGCGCCGCTTAGGGACCTCTTGGGGCGTTTTGAAGGCCTGTTGGGCCGTCTTGAGGCCATCGTAGGCGCTTGGGGGTGATATTTCGGCGTCTCCCGGCTCTCTTGGACCGTCTGGAGGGCTTCTCGGGCCTCTCTTGGACCGTTTGGAGCCCTCCTGGGCTCCGAAAAGGGACCTTGCTGGGACCTTGCCGGGACCATGCTGGGGTACTTTTCGTCCGGGGACCCCCAGGGCCCGCCCCGCGCGCGCGAACTAGAAATATTGTTGAGCAGTTACCGGAGATCTTAGCACGCCTCTGGCCCGTTGGGCCGGCGAATTGTTGTTCCGCCTCATATTCCCCCACCTGTGTTTCCCACTCTCTTTATCTGTTGCCTCCTCCTCCTTGCCCTCTGCCCTCGCATCTCTCATTCCCCTGCTCCTGTCTTTTTTCCCGTCCGCCGTCCTTCTGCTTCCCCATTCTTTCCTTCTCATCCACCTCCCCTTCTCGTTTCCATGCCCTCTCCCACCCCGCCTCCTCCTCCTCATCATCAGCATCAACATCATCGTCATTATCATCATCAGCAGCATCATCATCATCTTCATCAGCAGCATCATCATCATCACTATCATCATCGACAACATCACCATCATGATATTCATCCTCATCCTCATCCTCTTCACCCTCCTATTCACCATCATCAAAATCACAATCACCATCCTCATCATCATAAGCATCACCATCAGCACCATCACCGTCATCATCATCGTCATCATTATCATCATCATCATCATCGTCATCTTCATCTTCATCGTCATCATCATCATCGCCATCATCACTATCATCATCGACAACATCACCATCATGATAATTATCCTCATCCTCACCCTCTTCATCCTCCTCTTCACCATCATCAAAATTACAATCACCATCCTCATCATCATAAGCATCACCATCACCATCATCACCATCATCATCTTCAGCATCTTCACCATTTTCATCATCATCATCATCATCATCATCATCATCATCATCATCATCATCATCATCATCATCATCATCATCATCATCATCATCATTATCATCCCCCTCTTCATCCTACCCTTCCCCATCCTCGTCCCTCCCCCTGATCTGGCCGTTCACCTACCACCCCACGTCGGCGAGGACGACATTGACGACCGACCATCGTCGACAACAGACGACGCACACGTCGACGTCGTCGACGATGACGTCGACGATCATCGTCGATCATCGTCGACGTCGTCGACGATGACGGCGGCGGCGGCGGACGACAGATCACTGACGACGACGGATGACTGACGAAGGACGGCGGCGTCGACGGCGACCCTCCTGCGCTGGTCGACAGGTGATTGCCGACCGGCTGCAGTGCGTGCGTGGGGGGGCTCCGATGGCCCAGCTGGCAGGGGATCCGACTATCCAGGTCGGCCGTCGCCAGATGGGGCCAGGACGAGGGTGACTATGTTCCAGAGCGTTTCGGAACGCTCTCAGATCGTTCTGGAACGCTCTGAGAAGGCCGTCCTGGCTTCGTCTTACGTCGTCGTCGCCGCGGTCGGCGGGCCGTGCCGCCGCCGTCGTCGTCGAGCAGTTGTGGTCGTCGTCGATTGTCTGGGCTTCCTCGACGTCGCCGCGGCCTTCGCGGCGGCGCCGTCGTCGTCGGTGTTGTTGTTAAAGACCGCCGCCATCGTCGTGGTGGTGGTCATGGTCTTTGTCGTCGGTTTTGTTGTCGCCGCCGTCGGAGGATGAGGAACAGGAATAGGAATCGCTGAATTACGATGTCGTTGACATCTGTCGGACATGGGCAGCTTCCCTCGGCGAGGACCATCGAGGAGCATTGCGTTCCACCTTGCGAAGAATACACGCGCGAAACCAAAAAATGCACAAATGGACGTCTGAGCGACGGCGAGTGTCATGTGACAGCACAATGCCGCCCCCTGATCTCGAACACGACGTAGCCTGTTCAGATGGCGTCGAATCCGTGAAACGGGCAACTCACCAGAGGCCAAGGAATTTCGACCAAGAAACCCAAGATGAGAGGGAGGAGGGGGAGGGGGAGGAGGAGCAGAAGGGGGGAGGGGGAGGAGGAGGAGGAGGAGGAGGAGGAGGAGGAGGAGGAGGAGGAGGACGAGGACGAGGACGAGGACGAGGACGAGGAGGAGGACCAATGTAAACCCAAGACGCATCAACAATGTTGCAATACACCCTCCCTCCAAGTTCCATTTTCGTAGGTCCGTGGAATATGTCCTGTCACTTCGGGAAGTTGCCTATTAGAAGACAGCTTCTTGTGAATCCTGATTCATGCCCGAACACCTTTTCACGCCACGGATCAACGACGTGACTGTTGCGCTCTTATAATCCGAAATCGTCCCAGAACGCAAGTCCTGGGAATGCTACATACCGAATTCACTGGATTATCGAGTCCTGACAATCCTAAACCGTATGCGCATGCCATCCCTTGGATTTCACCGAACGAATCCTTCAAATGTAGCACAACTTAAAGTCGAGCGTACGCTCTGCGAAGGCCTGGGCCGCATTTTGAAAGCGGACTGCCCTCCCATCCGGAACAGGTGTTGCAAATGTGTCTGGCGAGTCTGCGCGGCGTCATTGTGAGAGCCACAGTTCCACGAGGACCCGCCGAACATCTGCGAAGCTGCTGCAACTTGCAAGCTCCAGGGTCATACATCTCGAGAAAGTCTCCCGTGAAACGCCCGGCCCGCCCTGCGGACACGTCTGGAGGCGCGGCAGGGAGGAGCTGAGTGCGAGGAGAAGGGCCGGAGGAGCAGGAGGGGGGGAAAGATTATGGACTGATGGGGGGCATCGAGGGGGCGGAGGAAAAGCGGGAGAATGGCCAGGAGGAGGGGGAGGAGGAGGAGAGAAGAGAGGAGGACCGCGAGGAGAGGGAGTACGCCAGGGAGCAAGGAGAAGGGGAAGGGGAAGCAGCAGGATAATGAACAGGAGGGGGACATCGAACAAAACAGGGGACGGAGGATATGCAGCAGGGGGGGCAGAGAAAGAGTAATGCAACAACCAAGGTCCTGCGAAAGGGCGTCACGAGGAGTTTCAAGGATTTCGCGCAGAAGCACCCAGACTGGTTCACATACGCTGAGGAGAACACGAACGGTAAGTTCATGCAGATGGTCTACCTGAGCGACGGGTACCACACAACCCCCATCAACGAGGTTACGCTAAAGCAGAGAACGGAGAGGCTGCTCTTCAAGATAGGCACGATCCTGAAGGCCACCGCCGGCGGCATCCTATTCCTCCTTCATATCGTCGTCCTCCCCAGCGACGTTCGCTCCTCCTCCTCCTCCTCCGTGAACGAAACATGGGCCCTTCCACAGCTCCAGGGGCCCGCACGGGCCAGAATCTCGGCGCGGATCCAGCCTGGGCGACGAGGACATACCTGGAGGCCCCAAGAACAGAAACCCCAGACGACTCCGTTCTGGATGCCCCTCATCGATCAGCCGCCTCCTTTTTACAGACCACCCAGATGCGGCTGGAGTTGATGGGTGGGTCGGAGGATCGCTCACATCGGCGAGGCGGCTGGATCCAGAACCAGATATTTCTCCATCGCGACGTCCACTGTGCATCGCCGATGCAGCGCGATCCACCGACCCCATCTACTCGGTCCTCACCTGATCGATCTTTCCCCTCGGCCCCGACAGCCACCGCCGGCGGCATCCTTCTCTCGGGAGCGTCGAAGAGGCGGGTGAGGACTATGCGTGTATGTGCCGTGCGTTCTCTTCTACGAATTTGGCCGCCCTGTCGCTGCGCGCGGGGGCCGGGACGCCAAAAAGTTGAGTTTTTGTGCGTCCCCACGGTAAGGGTACAGCCTTCCGTCGCAGGCGGCGCACGTCGCGGCCGGCGCTGTCTGCATGACGTGTCCCACGTGATGGGCAGGTCTGCACCTTCTGGGCTCCAGGCGCCGTTTCCCCTGCGCCCCAGCCGATCTCGCGCGTGGCCGGCGCCGACGCTGGCCCACGCCTGTCGTCTTTGCCCTGGTATCCGGTCCGCCGCACTGCCGCTCTTGGGAGTTGAGCAGCTCTGTGGCTGCCACGTGTGGCCCGCAGCCACGGCCTCAGTTTGCCGGACTGCCGGGGCCACTTCTTTCTCATCCCGTTGGTACGCCCTGACCGTCGGGCAGCATCGGCGCACTTAGCGCTGCCCGCCGCTGTGCGGTTTACGTCGCGTTTCTGGCCGCTCATCGTCACTCCTTGCCCTCGCGCTCCAGTCTGCCTGGTGTGCTTCACCTCGCCGCTGGAGGGCAAAGTGTGTGCGTGAATGTGTGTGTGTGTTTGTGTTTGTGCTTGTGTTGTTGTTGGTGTTGGTGTTCGTGCTTGTGCTTGTGCTTGTGTTTGTGTTTGTGCTTGTGTTTGTGATTTGTTTGGTGTTCGTGTTCGTGTGTGTGTGTGTGTTCGTATGGGAGTGTGCTTGTGTTTGTGTGTTTGTGGCGCGCGCATTCGACCTTTCCTACGCCGTGCCGCTGTGTGTTTGTGTTTGTGTTGGTGCTTCTGTTTGTGTTGGCGTTGGTGTTTGTGTTCGTGCTTGTGTTTGTGTTTGTGTTTGTGTGTGTTCATGTGTGGGAGTGTTTGTGTTTGTGTGTGTTTGTGTTTGTGTTTGTGTTTGTGTGTGCGCGCATATTCGACCTTTCCTACGCCTTGCCGCCACGCGCGTGGCCGCGACGCCGAAAATTGTGCGTGTGTGTATAGTGTGTGCGTGTGTGTGTGTGATTTGGCTTCTGCGCCTCGTCACTGCGTGCAAAGCTGCGACCGCCAAAAATGTGTGTGTGTGTGTGTGTGTTGTGTTTGCATGTGCGTATGCGTGAGTGGGGGGTTCTTTGAGTGTGACTTTGTGTGTGAGTGTGCGTGTGGCATCGCCTGGTTTCTCTGTCCCGGGTTCGCTAACGAGCGCTTCCGGGAGTGTTCGTATTGCCGCGCATTTGTCAGTGAAGCGAATTTTTGTCGCTGTCACCCCCAATGTATGTGTTGTGTGCACGCATGTCTTAGCAACGGCCTGCCGCACCGGCCACTTATGCCGAAGACCTTCGTTCTGTGAGTGCCTTCCCCGCCCCTCCTGCTCGACAGCCACCCTCTGCCATGTCTTTTTCCCTTGCAGCCGTACAAGTAGTACGCTCCGCCCCAGCTACGAGCGCGCGAGCGGATTACCTCTGCCGCGCCGCGACGAAACAAGTGCACGCATGTCTTGCCCACCATAGGCAAGTTTTCGGTCGCAGATCCGGGGGGCCTGGTATACCCTCTTCATTCCGACTTTAGCGTCGGTTAGCGTCTGGGAGTCGATGAGAAACCGCCGATCTAGCGTCGGCTAGCGTGGATTAGCGTCGATTCAGCGTTGATTAGTGTCGTCTAGCGTCGGCTAGCGTCGACTCGGACTAGCTGACAAGATGGTGTGGGAGGCCCCCATGGGGAGCCACCGAGCAACTTCAGATGGGATTGGCGCTGCACGCGCCCCGCTCAGAACTCTCGCTGCAGCGACGACACCGCTCGGCCGCCGGAGGCAAGTGTGTGTGTGTGTGTGTGTGTGTGTGTGCGTGCGTGCGTGCGTGCATGCGTACGTGCGTGCGTGTGAATGTGTGTGTGTGTGTGTGTGTGCGTGTGTGTGTGTGTGTGTGCATGTGTGTGTGTGCGTGTGTGTGTGTGTTTGTGCATGTGTGTGTGTGTGCGTGTGTGTGTGTGTGCGTGCGTGCGTGCGTGCATGCGTACGTGCGTGCGTGCGTGCGTGCGTGTGTAAATGTCTGTGTGTGTTGTGTGAATGTGTGAATGTGTGTGAGTGTGTGTGTGTGTGTGAGTGGGTGGGTGGGGGGGGGAAAGGGGGGGGGGGGTGCGTGGATGTCGTGGCTCTTCGGCCGCTCTTTTTAGAAGTCGCTTCTGGGCCCCCCTGCCCCCCCCCCTCCGCGCACATGCCCGGGCACCCAGAGATCCGACGCTCTCAAGAAGTTGGAGCGTGGTTTCGTGTTCGGCCTCCGCGGTCCCTCGCCGGGGCCCGCGACTGCCAAGGAACGGCTCGGGACGAAACACCGGCCCTATGGGGAAGTGGTCCGGACTTCTGGGACCCACGCATCGAAAAAAGTAGAGCAGCCGGATGTCTGGGAGGCCTGGCTCAGGTGGCAAGTCTGACCGTCGCCCCCGGATCCTGCACCCTAATCCCTGGAGGTCCCCGGTGGCCTGGGGAAGGGCAAACAAGTCACGACAAGGTTCCCCTTTGATTCTTCAGTGTGGAAGGGCAAGACTTGGCACTCCTTGGCTGGCCCCCGTCCTTCTGCCCCGCCCGATCCCCGAGCCGCCCCCCCCCCCCCCTCGACACCGAAGGCCACCGACAGCGGCGGCCTCCCGGTGTCCGCGCTCGGCGCCGACCCCGCCGTGAGGGATTTGCGCAAGGGCGTGGCCGCCGGCCTGAAGCAGTTCCTTCAGAAGCACGCGGGGCACTTCCGACTCGAGGACTGCCGGCGCGGCCTCCGAGTGGGAGGAAGAAGGGATCAGGGAGGAAGAGGTGAGCGCCCAGGGAAGGGGGAGGACGGATTGTGATAGTTTTCCTATTCACTGTTTTGCCGATCGGCTCGGGCCCTCGCACCCCCTGACCCAGGGAGAAGGCGGGAGAAAGGGAGGGAGGAGGATGATGAGAAGGAGGCGGAGGAGGAGGAATGAGATAAGGGAGATGCCAAGGATGATGATGGTGATGATGCTGATGATGCTGATGATGATGCTGATGCTGATGCTGATGCTGATGCTGATGCTGATGCTGATGCTGATGCTGATGATGACGATGACGAGGAGGAGGAGGAGGAGGAGGAGGAGGAGGAAGAGGAGGTGGAGGAGGAAGAGGAGGAGGAGGAGGAGAAGGAGGAGGAGCAGGAGGAAGAGGAGCAGGCAGAGACGCGCTGGAGGGCCACGGGCGAGAAAACGAGGGTGAGTAGGAGGACAAAGATGAGCAGGGAGAAACTATGAGGGGAGGTCGTGGAGGCCCCTGAAACCCCTGGAAGGACGCCGACGCGACCTCCGAGAAGGGGGAGCCCATGAAGGTGCTGACGTGCCACCTGGTGGAAATGCCCCCAGAGCCGCCGCCGCCGCCAGAGCCGGAGCCTGGTGCCGAGGACTCAACTCCTGGACGTCACGTCATCACGGCATCATGTCACCGTGCTCTTCCTCCTTCTCAATCGTCTCCTCCTTCCTGGCCTCCTCATCAGTCGCCTCTTCAATCTCATCCGCCTCTTCAATCTCCTCCTCCGCCGCTTCCCTCTCGATGCCCTCCTCCTTATCCTTCGGCGCCCTTTGGCCCCTAAGGGCCTCTGGGGGCGCCTTCGTGACCGCGGGTGTGGATCCGCCTCGAAATTCCAAGCACCACTCGCCCCATTATCCATCCTTCTCCTACTCATCATCTTCTGCTTCTTTTTCTTCCTCCTCATCCCGCTCCTCCATCCACATCGACCCCCGTGCATGATCCATGGGCGCGTTCTGACCAGAATTTAGGCGCGGATCCAGCCTTGGCGCCGAGGATGCCCCAAGAGTCCTAGAAAGAGCCTGACCAGTCAAAACAAAAAGTCTCCACGCTCCCCCCCCTCCCTCCACCTCCTCCTCCGCCCCACTGCTCCGCCTGCTCCTCCTTGTCCTCCCTTCTCCTCCTCCCTCCTCCTCTCATCCTCCGCCTCCTCCTCCTCCCTCTCCTCCTCCTCCTCCTCCTCCTCCTCCTCCTCCTCCTCATCATCATCATCATCATCATCATCATCAGCAGCATCAGCATCAGCATCATCATCACAGCATCAGCATCATCAGCATCATCATCAGCATCAGCAGCATCATCATCATCATCATCATCATCATCATCATCATCATCATCATCATCATCATCACCATCCATGCTCACCCTCCCTTCATTTCCTTCCCTCCTCCTCCTCCTTCCTCTTTCATTCCGACCGTAGCCATTTTGGCTCAAGCCATTTATTTTGGCTCAATCATTTTTGCTCAGGCCATTTTGGGCTCGAGCGTGGGCTCGAGGTCTACCGCAGGTCAGCATCTCTGCCTCCCACGACCCCAGCGGCAAGTTCCCAGGCTGCCGCAGGCCCACTCAGTGGCAGCGACCTGGCGGCGGCGCGATGGCGCCGCCCTGTCGGGGCGGCGAGCCTTCGGCAGGCCGCGCCGCAGGCAGGGCGACCCCGGCATCAGCACATGGTATCCACAGGGCCAGTTCGAGTCGCCGCGAGCGGAGCTGCTGGACGGCCGTCTGGCCATGACGGCATCCGGCGGCGTCGCCATCGGGGGCGCTTCCTCTGGCCTCGTCGCTCTCTTCTTCGCTTTTCCCCGTCGAGCGCTACACCTACGTCGGGAAGGTTGCGCTGCTCGATCGGTTGAGTACGAGGCACTTCGGTTGCCTGGTGACTTCAGTGCTGGCAGCGGCTTCATGAACTGCAAGATAGAAAAGGAGAGGTCTTCGACAAGAAGCTGCAGCAGCCGATAAGTGACCTTTGGCGGCATGGCGCACCACACCCTGGTCGACAACTTGGCCTGACGGCAGGCATCGGAGTCGACTATAAGTTTTTTGAGCCGTTGACCTGGCACGACAAGGAGATGCGCCCGTCGGGCTTCGTGCCGAACGCCTGGAACGCTGTCTGCACCCAGGCAACTGGCCTCATTCTCCGGCAGTCTCTGGGGAGAGCCACACCGACCTCGTGAAGGTTATGACGAGACGTTCGGCTACAGTGGAAACCCATGCCGAGAAACCCTGCTTGCCTCCAGGGGTGCCCTGGGCTTCTTGGGTTTCGATGGTTTTGCTATGGGGAGCGTGACGCTCCCACCCCAGAATTCAATGAACGACCTGGGGTCTCAGGCTTGGGTTTCTCGTGGAATTTTCCTTGCGGTCGAGCTCTTACCGCACGAGGAAATCAGGGCATCCGGTGAATCCAATTTTGCCAGCGGCTTCCTGAAAGGCAACGCCGGCAAAAAGTCCTCAGCACGAAGCTGCTGGAGCCGAACGTCGGCAGGCTGGCACCACTGGTCTTGGCGGCACGGCGCGCCACACCCCGGTCGACCACCAGGCCCCCTCCTCCGCCTCCTCCTCCTCCTCCTCCTCCTCCGCCTCCTCCTCCTCCTCCTCCTCCCCCTCCTCCTCCTCCTCCTCCTCCTCCTCCTCCTCCTCCTCGTCTTCCACGGCGTGGATCCGAAGGCGGGCTTCGGGCTGGGCTCTGCGCTCGCGGAGCGCCTCGAGCCCAGCGCCAGGCTCCCGGTCTCGACCGCGGCGAGCGCAGCGCCAATCTTGCTTCCTCTGCGGTCCCAGCGCGTGGCTGCCCGCAGTCCGTGCGCGGCGCGTTGCAGCGTGGAGAGGCGCTGCTGTGTTCGCTAGTTGCAGATGCGTCGAATGCGCGTTTCTGTCATGCGGTGCTGTCTCTTGTGCGCTGCGATGATGATGGGACGTGGGCATCGCTCGACCATCTTGAGCCAGGGAGGCGTCTGCGGGATCCGCCTTCCCTGCTCTCCATGGTTTCCTGCGCTGGAATGGTGGGGCAACGGCCCCACGTGAGTTTCCAGCGGTGGCGGTGTCCGTGGGATTAGTCTTCCCCGATCTCCCCAAGTTGAGCTTCGTCTGTGACGAATTGTCCTTTCTCGCATTCTGCAGGCATTTTGCACGTACCGCATCGATGGGGCCTCCAGCTAGAGAGGCTGGATACAGTGGGGGCGCGCATCAAGAAGCCATGTGCTTTTCATCAGGGACCCCCTGGGTTTCCTCGCTCCTCGCGCTGCACGGTGACTTCCCGCGGCCGTTGAAGAAGCTGCTGCGCTCAGGGTGCCCTGGGTTCCCCCCAGTCGCACCCCTCGCGCGGGTCTTCAGGGCTGGGGTTCTTGCGGCCGCGTCCTCGCTGTACTATTGGGAGTGTTGGCTGAAAGCGGCGCTCGTTCTGCCCTCGAGCAAAGAATTCCTTCCGACGCTGCCTTCTCCCCCTGCCTCCCTCCCTCCCCCCCCTCCTCCCTCCCTCCCTCCATCCTCCCTGCCTCCCCCTCCCTCCCCCCTCCCTCCCTCCCCCCTCCCTCCCCCTCCTGCCTCCCCCCTCCCTGCCTCCCCCCCCCTCCCCCCCTCCCTCCCTCCCCTCCCCTCCCCTCCCCTCCCCTCCCTCCCTCCAGTGCTTGGGCAGCCTGCTTCCGGGGTGCGCGTCGCCGCCACCTTGGGCCGCCGCCGACGCGCCCTCGAGGCACCAGCTGGCTTCGGGCCGCCCGCTCGCCTCACCGGAAACTGGAACGTAGGCATTGCCAGTGGGCCGGACGAAAGGGGGGGATTGGGAAAGGGGGGTTACGAAATCTGCTGCGCGCAGCTGGTTTCGGCCCCACCGAGGGGCCCAGTCCTCGATACATAGCCGCCTCCGGAACCGGGAGGCGCCTGGAAAGGCAGCTATACGCGAGCTGATTCTCAACCCCCCCCTTTGCATTCCCCCCCTTTCGCCCGGCCCGAGTAAGCTTTGAAGGTCCAGTTTCTTTGATATGTTCGCACAGAGAGGTCGCGTCAAGTCGAAAACTGGAACGTATACATTACCAGTGGCGGGCTGTTTTTGAGTCCCAGGGTTTCTTGAGGGTCGTGGACGACGTCGGGGTGGTGTGGTGTATACTTGTTTCCCCGTTTTCCCGTGGAAACAACAAAACATGTACACGCCAGGATGCCGTATTCGCCAGAATCCGTGTTCTTGTGCGAATTTCAGTGCGGGACCGAAAAAAGGCATCGGTGTATAGAGTTCGGTTCCCCACCGCACCTCACCTCGCACGGGAAAACTTGAGACTCGAGGACGCGGGGACTCGGGCTTGCCGACGCGTTTTGACGAGCGCGTCCTGAACTTTGGCGGTCCAGTGTTCGTGGGATCTCTGCATTTGGAGCTCGCGTCAAATGTCAGACCGGGTCAGGTAGTTTTCTCGATGGCCCCGCCAGGCCATACCCCAAGTCCCCCCGCACCCGAGCCTCGCGTCTCTCCGGCTCGCCTCCCCCCCTCCCTCCTCCTCCCCCTCCCTCCTGCCTCCCTCCCTCCCTCCCTCCTCCTCCTCCCTCCTCCTCCCCCTGCCTCCCTCCTCCCTCCCTCCTCGCTCCTGCCTCCCTCCTCCCCCTCCCTCCTGCCTCCCTCCTCCCTCCTCCTCCTCGCTCCTCCCCCCTCCCCCCCCCTCCCTCCTGCACCCCGTCCCCCCCCGGGGCCCGAGGAGGCCGCCGACGGCACCCAGTGGGTCGCGGCGCAGGCCGCCCTCGAGTGGCCGGGCGCGCGGGCGCAGGACGCGTGGGCCTCGCAGGGCCAGTGGGGCTCCCGGCGGCGCGCCCAAACTCACTAAGGGCTTGTCGACTTTTCGCCGATCGACTTGTGGGGAGCGAGCCAGAAAAATCCAGGTAAATGCAGATAAATCGAGGTAAATCCAGATAAATCCAGGCAAATCGAAACAAATCCGGGTAAATCCCAAGATCTCCGAGGAAAGGTGAAGCAACTCGCGGCCGCTCCAGCGCGAGTCGAAGGACGGCAGAAGTCGTTAAGCCTTTAACGACAAACGCGCGGCTCGTCGGCCACGCTCGGGGGCGGAAAAGAGGGGGGTGATGACCATGGGGGGGGGGGGGATATCATGGCGTGGGCCATGGTATCTCCCCAGATTCCGTGGCGCCCCTTCTTGTTTCATGACGTCCCTGGCCCCCCCGCTGGGCCGCGCGCATGCCGCCGGTCATGATTTGCATCCCGCCCCCCTTGGACACCCCCCTCTTGGCCGCTCCCAACACGCGCACAAGGGGGGGGCAGGGGGGGGGGAGGAGGGGGGGAGGCTGCTCAGAAGCACCCCTGCTTCTCCGGAGGCGCGGGCCGGGTCTATAGATGCAACGCCAGCGCCTTCTGAGAATATGTCTTTTTGTAAGAGGCCTCCCCCCCTCCGCTCTACCCCCCTGTTCGCGCCGCCAAGGTCGGGCGTTGCGCAATACGAAGAAAAGGGCGACGGGCCTTTATGTTGCATGTTTTTTGTTTCAGCCTCTGGCGGCTCTGGCCAGGCCCCGGAATTATCAAAACACGATTTAGGAAGAAAAACCGGTCCCAGGGAACGGGTCGAGACCTTTCGGGGTCGATAGAGTCATGACGTCGGCGGTCTGGGCAAATGGGGGTGAAGAAAGGCTCATGTTTTGTACCCTAAAGAGGCCCTTACGGGCCCCCTTGGGCCCAAAACAGGCACGACAGGTGCACGTTTCAATGTCTCCCCCCCCACATGTACCGCCCTCCCAACTTTAGGCAACGCCCGAAGGGGGGGGTCCACCCAAGCCGCCATGGTGGGGTGAGAAGTCACCCCTCCCACCAAGCGGTGGGCGGGGAGAGCCCCAGATGTCGCGCTGCGACCGTCGTGCTGGTCCAAGCGACAGCCACGCCCCGGCCCGCCGCTCTGGTCCAAGCAGATGGGGGCCAGAGGATCGCGCCGCATCGCCGATGCATCGGCCGTGCGGCTCGATGTGGCGCCCGCTGTTCTCGGCGCCGATGCATCGCCGATGCATCGCCGACGTCGCCGGTGCATCGCCAACGCATATGGGCGGCGCATCGCCGACGCTCAGGCGAGGCGGCGCGAGCCTCCAGCCCAAGCTGCTCCGGAGGAGGAGGAGGAGGAGGAGAGGCCTCCAGGGTTGGCGAGGAGAGCGGCCCTCAATGGCAGGATCCCATGTCGTGCCGACGCGGTGGCAGCCTCAGCGCGGGGGTTCAAGGGTGGACGCCGTCAGCGGCCCATGATCGGCGATCTGGCGATCCTGCGATGGACAAGCCGCCGACAAGGTTGGGCGATCCACGCGGTGACAGGAAGCAGCGGCGAAGTCGCTGCCGCAGAATGCTGTCGCACCCTGACATCCAACGCCTTGAACGAACTCAAGGCGCAGGTTTCATCGCTTCCGGCGTCCAGGGCCGTCTTCGGGCTCCAGGGCCAGGGCCACAGTGGCGTCGACGGTTTGGGAGGCTCTTCAGGGGACGGTTCTGGAGCTGCTCGTCTGGGCGCGGTTCGTGGAGCTCGCGACGATGGATCCGCGGGTCTGGGGACGGGTCCTGCTGGGCGGGCAGCAACGTGAGGGGGAAGTCATGACGAGGGGCGCAGCAATCACCGAGCGCGTTCCACTACTCGCAAAGTGCCCACTTGCAAGCGGCAGGAACAAATAACACATACCTGCCTCGATGTATTTGGATGGATCGTAACTCCCCGGCACCTCTTCAGGCCGCGGTGATATTTTGGGAGCCCTTCAGCCCCTCTCTGGGGCTATCTTCCCTGCACCCCTCGATCGCCCGCTTCAGACGCCTCCCTACGATACAGCCAACGCGCCTAGCAAGGACGCGCACCTTCTTCTGGAGTGCCCTTGAGTCCTTGCCTCTGCGGCCCGTCCTTTGTCGTTTTTGCTGGTCGCCCGTCGCCCAAGGAAGTCCAAATTTCGACCTCCAAGGGTCTTCCCTCCTTACCACCCGTCCTTGACACACGTTTTGAGGCTCAATGCGGCGATGGCGCTCTGGCGACGCCCGCGAAGGTGTTCCAAACTTGCATTCCGCATCACAGAACGACGCGGAAGCATTGAGGCGCACACGAGACCCGACGGAGTTCGGCCTTGGACGATCGGGCAGCGGCAGCGATCGGTTCAAGGCTGAACGATCGATGCGGTGTCAGGAAGCCTTGGCGCTCATCGACGCCGCGCGAGCCTGCCGTGGTGTCAACGTCACGCCCACCCGATGTGGAGCGGTTTGGGGCCCCAGCGAGCGAGGGGCGGCCCCGCCCTCGTCCGCGAGGCGCTCCGACAGCCCGCCCGCGGGGCGGCTGCTGAAGCCCAGCCGCCCCCGGCAGGCTCTGCTCGAGCTCCGTGCCCGGCCGTGGTGGCGAGGGGGGGCCCGCAGTTCGGCTCTGGGCCTCCCTGAGGGGGTCTCCTCCTCCTCCTCCTCCTCCTCCTCCTCCTCCTTCTCCTCCTCCCTCTCCTCCTCCTGCTCCTCCCCCTCCTTCCTCACCTCCTCCTCCTCCTCCTCCTCCTCGTCCTCCTCCTCCCCCTCCTCCTCCTCCTCCTCCTCCTCCTCTCCCTCCTCCTCCTCCTCCCCCTCCTCCCTCCTCGTCCTCCTCCTCCTCCTCCTCCTCCTCCTCCTCCTCTTCCTCCTCCTCCTCCTGCTCCTCCCCCTCCTTCCTCACCTCCTCCTCCTCCCTCCTCCTCCTCCTCCTCCTCCTCCTCCTCCCCCTCCTCCTCATCCTCCTTCTCCTCCTCCTCCTTCTCCTCCTAGGCGTGGGTTTGAGCCGACGGAGGCCTTTCCCGTCGGTGCGTTTTGGGTTTCGGCCGCGCGCCCGCCCGACCCGAGCCCGCGCCCAGCTCCGTGCCCGCCTGCAGCGATAGGCAGGAGCGACTCTCCACTCGCGCGCCTGCCCAGGTGCGGACTGAACGCGGACGACAGTGACGGCATCCAGGAGCAGATCACCTGCGTGGCATCGGAGACAGCGACGCCTTCGACATCGAGCACGACAGATACTGCGCCTCCAGTCAGCCCGTCAATTGCTACTTCAGCACCACGGTTCGCAGCCGCCTATGGGCGGAGCCCGAGGCGGACGTGGACATCAGCGAGATGACACTCGCGAACCGCGATGGTCGTGTGCAGCGACTAGGCAGTGTGGTTACACTCGCAATGCTGCTAATTCTGAGCGGTGCTTTATGTGTGGAAGGAACAAAGCTGGCCAACCTGACCCTGCAGGACCGCCAGACAGATCCAGGCGCCGCCCAACCTCTCGTGCACCTTCTTCTGGCAGGGGCACCAAGTCCGACAAGGCCGACGACAAGGATAAGGACGTTTCTGAGGAGTCTGCGGCCTCAGATGCAGTCACTCGGGCACGCAAGGCGGTGGCTGCACTGCGCCGTCTTGGCCTTGATGAGAGCAGCCCATTCGTGGTGGCCGCGAAGCAGAAGCTCAACAACGCAGAGACGGCTGAGAGAGCTAAGAGGACCCCAGACGATCTACTTCGACGGGCACTGGATCGTCAGGCTGCAAAAACTCGTGAGGTCACTACTTTGCAGATGGCCGTTGACAGGCTCAAGGCAGATTTTGAATCCAAATCTCAGGAGCTGGACGCGGCGACCGCAGATCTGGCCATCATTCACTCGGAGGTTACTTCAGCCCGTGCAGCAGTCCTCGCAGCAGGACGACAGCCAGTTCCAGAGGCCGAGCAGAACCTGGATGGAGCGTTGGAGCGACTCGAACAAATTGTGCGGGCGGCACCCTCCACCACGCCTGACAATGCAGAGGCCTTCTGTCAATCCTTGGGCACGCACATGGCGCAGCTGCAGTCCGCCCTTGCTCAGCATCGGCATGCGCATGCACAGGCTGGTCCTGCTCCTGTGACTCCAACCCCTTGGGCAAATATTCTGGATCAGCAAGATGACGCCATGGGAGCAGGTGACGGGAGTTAGTTCAGTGTACAACGATATGCCTCGGTTGTTCAGCGACGGCGTGATCCGCTCGTTCGACCCTCACCGAGATGACCGCGGAGATCGTGCTGTTGCTGGACTCAATCACATTCGGGGGTCTGTCCCCAACACTACCTCTTCCTCGTCCGGTTCTGGTGCGTGCATAAGCGGCGTGAGGCTATCAAGCATGCAGCGTCGAGACCCTGAAGTGCCATGCTCTGCGAAGTCTTTGGCAAGCGGTGAGAGACTATTGCCTGGACAACGTGGAGACAATTTTGATATGCAGCGCGGCCGTTGCGCCCACGACCCCCCCGCCTGGCGCCTTCGGCAGCTGGGCCCCCAAGGGTTAATGGGGGGGAACGTCTTGTGGCCCCGCGGCGCGGCCTCAATGGGGTCCAAGCGCGAGCCGATGATGATGGCGAGTTTCAACAGCTCTGGGTGGCCGCAGGCGCGAGACTTCCTCGACGACATGCGCCACCTGTCCATCGTTGCTGCGCAGGAGCTCCACCTGTTCTCGAACGGGAGGCAGCAGGCTGAATAATGGTGCGTGCAGCGTGGATGGCAGACGTTTATCACCGACGCCATCATCTCTGATTTCGACAAGCCGCGTGCAGGGGTCGGTCTCCTTGTGCGCAAGAACATTGAGGTGGTCAGGCTATCAGCATGTCTGAGCTCTCATGTGGTAGTGCCTGCCTATAGCGTCGCCGTGATAGTGAAGGCAGGGCCGCGAGGTGGCTTTGTGGTTGCCTCGTCTTACTTGGAGCAGGGCCTCAAGCTCGGGGGTGCCAACGCATCTCGTATCTCCTGGCTTGGGCGCCTGCCTCAGCTTCTACGCCCTGCCGTTCGTTGTCGCGGGCGACTGGAGCGTGGACCCC